ATATTAAAAAATTTTAGCTATTTTTAGGTACCACTTTTTGGTAAATATTATGAACTTAAAAAATAAATTTGTTATGATTACTATTGTACTGCCAATATAAGGGTACTCTTATGTTCGGTTCTTTGATTGACGTAAGTTAAATTATTTTTGTTGGAATCTCAGAGTTATAGGTATGTTAGGTTGTGTTCTGTCTGAAGTTTTAACATTGGTTTTAGCATCGGTCCTCCTAAATTGATAATTCTGAAACCCATTTAAAAAATTTTAAGTTTTGTTTGCTGTTTGGAATACCAATACCGGTTAGAAAAATATCTGATAATTATATCTTTTATCGGTTATTGTATGAGTATTACATTTACATTTTATATTATTAAATATTTTTATATCCGGTCCAATATCAAAAGGGACCCTAATGCAAAAAAATAGAAATATAATAAATAAAAGAAGAATACAAAAATAAATTACATATTATAAATTTTTGATTCTAACCCGGATTTTTTTAGAACGCAGACATACTAGCTCAAATAGCTAGCACCATACCATTCAACAGATCTTAATTAACCCAAATCAATCATTTATAATTTTTATTCTTTATTTTTTACTGTTTTGCTATTTAACTAAAATACTCGTAAATATGTTTACGACTTTTGACGATTGCAATACTACCGTTTAAGCTCTAATTAAAACATAATAAGTAAGTATTTTAAACAGTCATTGCCCTCAACGCCTTAATACCATAGTTTCGCAGGCACATACTCGTACTTGGTGTCTGGCGCTACAGTATGTATGTATGTGTATGAGAGTACATGCTTTCTGCTATCGCAGCAATACATCGCCTACAACATTGCAAGTATATCACAATTAGCCTCCTTTTACTCGTCAACAACAATTGTTGTTGCATGTTGTATATGACAGTTAATGATTCCATTCATTTGCTTTTGTTGTTCTTTTGTGCTTCATTTTTTCCAACGTGGTTGAAATTCAATTATTTTTGGGTTGAAAATCGAAACTTGCTTGACAACATTTCTGCTTTGCACAACATCAAACGTTGGACATTCTAAATCCAACACGCCAAACATTCAAAGTTCCGTTCCTTTGAATTCCTGCTACAACGCAGTCGAATTTTGTTGTTGTCTGTCGGTCTGTTAAAGTTATTTTTACTATTAAAAGTATGTTTGTACGTAGTGGGCACTCAGGCCATTCTCCGGCCAAACCCAAGACGGTGAAGAAAAGAAAATATAAAAAAGTATTAAAAATAAATTAAAAATGTTATAGAGAAAAAACGTTAACTTCGGCTGCACCGATACTATGATAACCTTCACAACTGATTTTCTTATAGCATAAAAGGGTATAAAGAGATCTGTTTTTTAATTTTAATCGGGCAGTTTGTATGGCTGTATTGACCCGATCTGTACAGCATATTCGGAGATTATAGCCTTGCCTTGGATAATAATCTAAGCTGAATTTCGTGAAGATACCGTAACAAATAAAAAAGTTCTCCATACAAGGACTTGATTTTGACCGATCAGTTTATACGGCAGCTATATGCTATAGTGGTCCGATATCGGCAGTTACGACAAAGCAGCTTCTTGCAGAGAAAAGTCCCTGTGCAAAATTTCAGATCGATATTTTAAAATAAAATCGAGTAAATCGACTCAGCTGAGCTGCTGATCTTTTATATACGGGTAAATGCTTTATAAGATCGCCATGTTTTCCGATGTTTTCTTCTGGATATTCGCACTTAGTCTTAGCAACTTTAATAGCTGTACGGGGTATAAATATGAAAAACAACAGTGTTGTTGTCAATGGCGGATAATTGTTAGGCACTGATGCAGCGAGAGCGATCGTGTGTTGTGCGAGAGCGGCTTAGCAACTACCTTAACCCACTTTTGGCCCAATAAAACACCGTATCAGTTAATGCAATGGGTCAGATCTTTTTATTATTATATGCATTATCTCTGCATCTGTGTGTGTCGATGTACTGATGTCTATGTATGTATTTACATACATATGTAAATAGCGTTGGCGTTCCATCGCGGCAATTTGACCTTTCTTGGCTTATTTATAGCTCCGTTGTAATTGACTGCGGGGCGTTTTGAACCCGGCGCTGGCATTGTATTTTCATGCTTGTTCTGCCGCAATCAGAGATTGTGGGTGCGCGCTGTTTGTGGCATCGCAAACTTGCAACACAGGCCAAGATTTATGAACACTTTTTGCAAAGCGCTGACAATTGATGGCGTGTAAACGCGCGGATGCATGCCGTTTCTTTTGATTTTATTTTTTTAATAAAATTTGTATGTAATTAACTACTACTCAATGCCAATTCAAGGAGACTCAAAACAATTTAGTAAAAACAAAAATAATATTAAATTTAAAGTGGAAATTTGTGGAAAATTGTTGTTGATAATTAAGCGTTCCGTTGGGGACGGCTATCGATGCCTCAACTTCTTTAACTCGTCTGAAAGATACGTTGTCGAGGTCTGCAAAGTCTCTGTATTGACTATAACCTCCTCAATCGACTCAAAAATCTGTCTGGCGGATAATTTTTTCAAGTTTAGAAACAAAAGTCGCATGACAAAATTTGGATATTATGGTGGATGGGGCAGCAGGACATTAACTTCGCCAGATGGGACCTGAGATTTTTCAACAATTCAACATCTAACTCTAAAGCCGGGTGATCGTTTGACTCTCCTCCAAGTATATAAGTCGATGTCGAATAAGTCTAATGTTCCCACTGTTTCTTGGCTTCTGGAATCAATGAATCCATGCTTTGTCCATGATCACAAAAGGATGCAGAAAAATTCTTTGGATTGTGATTAAACATCGTCAAACACTGCTGTGAAGCAATCCAACCGTTCGGAATGAGCGTACCCAAAATTTCATGTAATAATGAACCACGCGTTGTTTTTTGGATGGATATGGTGTGGGCTCATCAAAAATCGACGTGCCAGCATATTGAAACCTATTAAATCAATTTTCGCCTATCGCCATGGAAGAGCTACCAGTACAGGAGTTACCGTATATATCATGGAAGCACTCTTTAATTTCGCCGCACGATTTCCTATAAAAAAAAATCGATTTACCGGGAAATAATACTCTTATCCACTTTTCTAAAATTTACGAAAAAGACCTATTCTACACGCGGTCAAAACAAAAAAAAAGTGTCCGATTCAGTTGAATCTTGTGATGGTGGGTTGGGGTTGGGATCGGAGCAATATTTAAAAAGTTGTAAAAAAAAATCGGATAAGAGTACTAAAATGCTGAGCGTATGTCTAACATAAAGGCTGCTCGTAAAATTGTTAAACCTTTTCGGAGACGTTATGGTGTCGTCCAGCCATAAAATATACCAATAATTATAATTAAATCTCAAGCAACTATTGTAACTAGCTAAATTATTAGCGCAAAAGGCAAACAAAATATGCTTTTACGCTCCTCAATAGACAGTAAAAATTAAGCACGCATGCGCAGATGATTGGTATGTAGCTGTGGCTGTGTCACCTCGTGACTCTTGCAATAAATACCAATCTACTTGCGTAAGTTGTACGAATATTCGTAGTGTTGCTGAAAATTATATTGCACCGGCGGCGGCCGGAGTATGTGCGCGGCATCTCGATTTTGTTACCGTTACAACACTTTCACTGGTGAACGTTTGTACATATAAAATGAGACTGGTGCTTTTGAAATCATACGCAACATTTGTATGTATTCGCACCACATCGTGCTGTCTAAATGTGTGCACGGGTAATTCATAGCACCCAGACGTGTGCACGTAGCGGGGGGTGGCGGGTGGCGGCAGTGCGCATGCTATCCAATCTCACACTCGACCATCCAGCCGTTATGGCGAGCTTTGCAGCTAGCCCCGCGTTAACGGTGTCGTTGTCGGTGAATGCTGCAGGCCCACGTTGTTGCCGCTAGCCCAGTTAAGCGCGCAATGCAAATGCAATACAATACGATACGTGTGTGTATTGCGCATGCGCTTTGTGCGTCTAATGATGCAATCCAACGTTGTGTAGGTACGCGCTGATTTCTCAACTCTGCTAGACTGGGACACTTTTGAAATGGTACACGCACAGCGCATGCAAATTCCACAGCCTACACATTAATTATGTGCAAGCACATGCGCCCATTACGCGACAGCCGACGGTGCGTTTTGTGGGCCATTAAGCAGAAATTAACATATCGCAATATAGTATATATTAATATGTGTATGTGACTGGTACTTTCAAATTATTCGAAGATTTAATAATAACAACTTTATTTTTATTTCGCTTTACAGCAAAACTCTTCCTACCAATTCGGTTTCGACGTTAAAGACGATGAATTCACCAACTATCAAAACCGCAAGGAAGTACGCGATGGTTCGGTAATCAAAGGCAGCTACTCAGTGGTTGATTCGGATGGTTTCATACGTACCGTTAAATACACAGCCGATCCGAAGGAAGGCTTTAAGGCCGAAGTAATTCGTGAGCCCACCGATATTGTTGTGAAGATACCCACGCCTGCTCCCCAACCATTGGTACGTCAAACTCACAAATCGCAGGATTATGCGCTGAAACCTTCGCAGCAATATCATCAGCAACAGCCACAGTATCATCAGCAATACCAGCAGTAGATGTGATTACGCGTGCCGCTGTGTGAGTTGAGCGTAGCTAACGGATAGAGTCGAATTTTGTTAGTCCACTTTGATGCACTATATTGTGGCCTAGCACCGTGCGCGATGTCTGTGCGTTGTGTGCGGTGTGTGCATAATAACACTTATTTTCATTTTTCATCATAGATTATACTTTATTTAAATCATCCTTTATTTGAAACATTATATGGATTGTGTGAAATTTTATTTTAAGTGCATATAGAATTTTTTAATCGAAATAAATTAAACGAAAAAACATGAAATGATTGGGAATGTTGTGTAGAATGTGGTGGATTGAACTTTCATTTACGATGAAGATACTGGCAGTGTAGTAATACATATGTACATATATGGTCTATTTAGCATACCACCATTTGCACCGGTTCACCGCCATTCGAACACGAACTTTTATGGTTGACGTTGTCGTTAGTGTTCAACTTTTCATCACCAGTAACCATCCGCTTTAGAAATTATTCGATTTAGTTACGATTCAATAGCGATTCGCAGATGGAAATTCGGTCCATGAGGGTTATTGCGTTAGCTCATGTGGCAACCATACATCGAGCTTATTTTTTATATACAGTCCTATTTAAATAGTTCCAAAGCCTTTATTTTTTTGAACTCAGCAACTAGTGAAGTGGAACACACCATTCAATGTCCAGAGATTCTAAGCTCTAGTACATCTTGGAGCTTGAGCCTTTATGTTTAACCACATTCAATAACGTTAGTAGTAAAATGCTTTATTTTATGACAACAGTGCTTTCGAACTCTTATTTCATCATCAAGAAGTAAAGTCGAGCGGCTCTAGTAGGTTCGAACTATCATTCGCAACGATCAACTTTCTGCAAATTAATTAAAGACGAAATGTGAACAAGAAGCATACGCGTAAGTTGATAAGTCGGTCAATTAGGTAAACCATCGAAATTTAAGCAGCACAGATCCGGGGGAGATGAGCGAGTATAAAAAAACAAAGGCCGCGAAAAAAGTTCTCACACTATGTTTAGTCACATGCATGACTATTTGATGTCAACAAATGCGCATACTGACAAACATACGTATTGTCAAATCAACCGTTCAACCGAAACCGCGATCTACGATGCACAAGACACATAGCATATTCGCATGTTCAACATGGTCACCAACTCAAGCTGGACCGGTCAAACCGGTTCGGACCAGACACGGCATGGTAAGGCGAAGCAAGAGAAGACAAGACAATCACACGAAATTTCTCAACGCATAAATTAAGTCCGAGCGTCAGGGGAATAATCAACAACAATAACAATGATCAAACGAAATGTACACATAAATGGAATGTCCTTTCGATTTGACGCTGACGCTGTAAAAGGACACATGTGTGCGCCGACAGAGATGCATACATACATACTAAATATCTCACATGTAAAACATTAAGAAAAGGGTTTCCAGTGCACTGTCTTATCAATGTTCTACGGCGCCAGAGTCACTTCCCACAAAAGCTACGCTAGAAAGCTAGAAACCGGTTCTGGCCAAAGGCTACTTTGCTAGCTGCTAAGCAAAGGCACACAGACAGCGAGCATTAATGAAGCCGAGAAGGTGAGCGACTGAACCTCTAGACTGCGATAGGGTATAAGGATATGCCACTGAAGCAAGCGCATGCGGGCATATCTCTGGAAATATGAGTGTAGTATACAAATCGGCAACAAAATATTATTGATTCGATGGACAAATGTCAAAGCGCGCAATCAACCGGAAAATTTGTTTTGAATAATTAAGTCGGACAATGTCCTGCAGTAGGATTAATGTTGGCGAGCAGTAAGCCAGCACAGCTGGACGAAAGTGTCATATCTATACACATTCACATGTGTGAACAAACAAACACACATCAAACTGGGCTATCCATATGTCCAATTGTTGTTTTTGTTTTATGCAAATGATACGCGGACAGCGTCGACGCACGAAAGTACAACCACCCTTGTTGCAAGGACACAAAACCAAAGCGTCCAAGACATTTACAACATTTTTTTTTACGGAAGTTACAATAACTTGCGCACAGGTAACCTATGTAATGATAACGTAGCAGTGTGAGCAACCCTTAAGATGAGCGCTACTTGTCTCTGAACTATCTTTAGCTGTGCCACATTTACATATCCATTGCAGTCCTACGTATGATCGTCGTCCTCGTAACAAACTTAATACTGCATCACCTTAAGAATTTATAATCATCTTCAAGAACTGGTTTTCCTTTCGGTGAGTGTCCTAGATGCCACTTTTATATTTGGCGCGTCGCGACAGACCGTCGTACCAAACGACCGACCGACCGATCGCCAATCTATCCACCCGAATTGACCTTTTATCATCGCAAAACTTGACTGACCACTTTTGGCGTGAGAAACAAACTGTAAATAAATAGAAACTCAGTAGCGATAGTAATTTACAGCTTCACCTTTGACTGCACTCCTTACCCCTACTCTTGATCTCTGCTGCATTTTTGGTTGTAAGCGCTTCTTTCATAGGCGCCCAACTATCCAAACATTCTAATGCAAATGAAGCATGCAATTCTTGAATATAATAATTTATTTTTGTTTTTGCATTGTATTGCATTTTCTGTTTCCATTTCTCTCACTGTCTTCTTTTCTTTATTAATATACACACACTGTTATACTAACGCTCATTAAATCATATTTGCATATCAAATGGAATCTTTTCTGAATTTTACCTTCTAATTGTGTTAGCATAAATACTTAAGAATTGCGTAAAGTCACGTTTCGGTGGCGCCTCAACGTAGTTTTCCTTGCGTCAAATCCCAATGGTGCTCACCGTAACCGCCCGTCGCATCAGCCCATACAATCTACAATGAAATATGTGAAATTTCATTCAAAACTCACTTAAGTGCTTGGGTGCGTTTTGTGCGCATGCGTAGAGAAAATTTGCATTTGCTCAAGTCACGCTTGAAAAGCGCTTGCATACGGTAATACGGTAAGGTTGTATTTAAGCGATTCAACTCAAAAGTAAATCACTCGTACTCACCTCGCCGCGATGACGATTGCCATTGTTGTTGTTGTTTAGCGACTCGAAACGTTTCTCAAAGCGTTTTTGTGGTTGGAATTTGACATGACCGAAACTCTGTTGTTGTGGATTCTTAAATCGCATGTATATGTCACTGAGAGATATGTATATATAAAGAAAAATAATAATTGAGGTTAAAGGAACAGCAAAAATATATAATTTTCTTAGTGGAAAAGATATGTCATAAGTTATATATTTAGTTAAAATTTTATGCGTTACAAACAATATCCAAAAATATTGTTTTCAGCTGTTAAATGATATACTATATTTCTGAAGATTATATTGTAATTATCTAAATTTATTGTGGAAGATTAACTACCAGTTATAGAAGTATGACACTACAATGCTCCGCCACGGAACAATTTTCATCTCGAAAGTTCATCGATCCATAATACTCTCACCCTGTGGACCTTTAACTTTCTGTCATGAGGATGGTAAGACTTTTTTGAAAAACTAAAGAATATTTGAATAATATTATATATATACTTGTATTTCTGCTAATAATTTTGGTTAAGAGCTATGATACTACGACGACATTTTTTAATAAATTAATCATTTTTAATTTCACTATAAAAGATGATCTTATAGAAACATACCCCGATTGTTGACCAACATATATTAGTGATATTTGTCGTAATTATACTTTTAGTTTTATACTTAGCTCCATAGATCCTTATATGCAGGTTGGGCCCACAGGATCACATTCCCATTCCCATTTCCCATTTTCCGGGCATATTTTACTTCACTTTTTTAGGATTTAGTAAGGTTTACCACTGATAAATGTTGTCTACTTAAATAATTTTTTTATGTCTCCTATTTATAAGATTTTTTTGTTATGAAACTCTTTCCACTAGAGGTGACTGAAATGTGAGCTGAGAGATAATATTGAATTTTTTTCCTTCTCACTACCAACTACTGCTGATGAGGTCAAAAATTTACTGTTAATTAAATTTATTAAATTCTGATTTATTAAATTCACTCAAGTTTTTTGGGGTCCATGGACGTGGCTCATTAAAAGCCGACGTGAGACCTTATTGAAACCAGTTAAAACAAATTTTAATGGTCGCTATCGAAAAAGACGAGCCGGGTGTACAATATATAATATAAGCACTCTTTAATTTTTCTGCGCGATTGACCTCTAGAAAACAGAAATAAAATCGCCGACCGATATTGCTTTTTTAATTTTTCTAAAATCCGCGGACACGCTCGAAACTGAAATATTACTACGAAAATGCTCTAGGCGATAGTAACTTTCTCTTGCGATAGCAGCGCCATTGGGCGGTTAGCCTAAATACTTCTCGGACCACCCACGTATATTATATGAAAATTTAATTATATGATACATGAATTGTTTAAACTGGAAACTAGTGTAATAAATACAGTACTGAATTGGAATTTTGCTCTAACATGTGAAGCAAAAAACTGAAAATGAACTAAGTTGTCAAAGGTGTAGGATTTTAAGCAATGTTATAAAGTCTTGTGATTTCACAATTGCCTAATAATTCCATGGTTTGCTTGTAGAAGGGTTTAAAAATTACAAAATTTTTATCTTTCTTAATTTAAAATTGTAGTCAAGTAACTACCCCATAGTCAATTTTTAAAACGAATAAGATTTAAACTAAAATTCTATCATTTTTAATAAGTTATGACATGAACATTTTAATTTAGGTCAAAATCATTAAATAACAGTGAAAACTTACTGAAAAGATTGCGTCTGCTTATTTATTTTAGGATGCTCTCTTTCATTATCTGAATTTCGCACATTCTCTCGCGGCACTCGCTGTGTTTTCCGAGCGAGTGACTCCATTGGCAAAGCTTTGTCAAGCGAGTGAAGGATATTTGAATGTTTCAAGTTGTTTTGTGCTGGTACAGCATTGTAGCTCGAATTCGTGTAGCGGCGCGGGCGTGAGTCCTGTGTGTGGTCGTTACTCAAATGTAATATACGATGACTAAATGAAAATGGCGTTAAAAACTCTGAATGTTGCTTAAGTTCTCGCTTGGCGGTGGCGACAGGTGGGTCAAACATTTTTAATTGCGTATTCGACGGAATAACTTGAAAGTAATTACCGAAGTTACGATATTTGGCCACATCCGGCGGCGTGGCACGCAGTGACGACGAGTATTTGGGTTGACTATAGCCATGTGCTGGTAACTGTCCGAAAAGTGCCGTTGCATTGAGAGTCGCGATTTGATTGCTGAGATGCAACTGATCATTGGTGTTGTTCGTACCGGAATGACGGATGCGTGGATCGCGGCGTGCGTGCAGGTATTGAGCGCCACAGTGTGCACTCAGCAGTTGTATGGCTAAAATTACAATAAATAACATGTTTTAAGTTAAACTCTCTTCGCTTGCTAGACTTTAACTACTAGTGTCGACACAATTTTATTCGTCCTCAACTTGAATGTCTTTATCCACGGATGGCGTTCGAAAGCTCACAATGCTGAAATCTGGTTGACAGTCGCATTTATAGCCAACGCCGTGCTGTGTAATCAAGCCCTTTGAAGCGGAAGTTTTCTGAATGCCATAGAGGACCACTTAACCGTGGCACAGCGCGCCACTAACATCTAACCCGATTTCTGCCATTTCTCTAAATTAACATGCATACATACAGTCAACTTAACTTGGCACAATTCAGCGGAGTGTGAAATGACTGATGACGTATTTAACGTCTTTGGATATAAAAACAAAATGGAAAAGAGCAAGTCATTGACGACAGATTCCAATCGAAATTTATGATGATTGTGCAATAGAAAAGATACGATTATAATGACAGCACTGCATTAGATTGAGGTTTGAGTGAAAACTAGTGCATAAACAGAAGTATATACGTATAGTATACATATGTACATATTCTCGAGTTCAGATTTGTGTAGTCGGTATGAAAGTCAGTAATTTTATAATTATTATATTTAAACAGAGGTGCCTGGCCTATAATATTACTAAACTGCGGACTAGCTCGCATTAACGGGACCATGATATTTATATAAGCAAGCTAACAATTATATAATCTTGCAACCAACGCGTTATGTGGTTCCCCGGAGCAGAAAAGAGCAGAAGATTAAAACAATTTCCAAATAAGAACTATTTACGTGCACTTTCTAAGCCCAAAACGAATATGCTAAGTGGAAATGATGATATAAATTCCTCAAATAGCTGACAAAGTGGTAATTCATTATTTCGTAGTTAAACCGTGTCAGACAAAAGGAGTCATCTTCTAAACCAGAACTGGAAACGCTGAGCGAATCACGAAGTTTGTAACATCCAGAAGGAAACTACGGTGAACCTCTAACATATATATTATATATATATACATATGTATATTTTAGCAGCGTAACGAGCTGAGTCGATTTAGCCATGTCCGTTGGTGTGTCAGTGTATATTTACACGAACTGGTCTCTCAATTTTTGAGATATCAATCTGAAATTTGGCAAATCTCCTGAAGAAGCTACTCAACACCGTCGATATCGGACCACTATATTACAAATTAATCGATCAAAATTAAGTCATTATAACGAAAACTTTTTTATTTGACAAGATATCGTCACGAAACGTTACATATGGCTGCCATACAAACTGATCGAACAAAATCAAGATATAGATATTCATAAAAGATTAGTTTTCCCTATTATGTAAGCTTCATTCGACTTGAAAGTTGTTTATACCAAAAAAAGAGGCTAACATAAACAAAACAAAACACTTTTCCGTATGATTTAAAGAGTTTCTCTCTTCATATCGATCTCTCCATTTTAAATCTCAATATTTTTGCATTAGACTTCGGTTCGCTCATGAAGCACGCTAGTTGAATTCTAAAGTTAAACCTAAAAACTTCAGAATTTAGTCGAAACTGAATATTAATCGAATTTTACTATTAAAATGATACGATGATATTGCTAAGCACATAAATCCCAAAAGTCAATATCAATGCTCTAGTGGAAGAGGAACAATTTTTGTGGGTGAACCTCTTCTTTAATTTTAAATAAAAAAATATTTCTTTCTTTCTACGTATGTATGTATATATGTTCCGCCATCTTCGCAGCAAAATAATGTCTACTGCAGTTAATAACGATCGAATTTAGTAATATTTTTGAGCACGTGACTACACGAGATCTTGCAAATTTTGAAGGCAGATTCGTTCGACTTTCTCAATACAATTTTGATTTGAGCATTCCAAATCCAAATTTTTTAAAACGTGGAAACCTTGAACTTAGTAAAAATATAAAATTGTTATTTTTTTCTTTAATAATCAACTGTTATTTGAAGTTTTAAGTATATGCAATATTTTGTTTGTTTAGTAATTAATTATTATTTATTACTATTGTCTGCAAATATTTTTCTTTTCAGCTTATTTTAGCAAGTTATAGAAATATAAAATTGGTTCGAAGGTACCGCGAGATCTCTGACATTTGACTTTCATATACATATGTATGCCAGGTAAACTAAAGTTACTACTTTCTTGTCAATAACAACTTCTAATTCTTCACGAAGCCTGGAAAGTCCAAACTTTTTGCTTTGCTTAAATATATAATATAAATTTATATGTACCCGTATCTTAATATTTATGTATTTGTAGAGCACATTCAATGACCTTCAACAAAATAACTATCAAAAAATGTGAATTAAACTCTTAAAATACTCAACACTTTTTTAATAGGAAATTCAAAGCCTCCTGAGCACAACGGAACTTTCGAATAAGTACTACCAACACCACTACCAACACCTTTCACAGTTAAACCTTAACTATAACTATACAAAGTATGACCTTGCCAACTGGGTGTGGAGTGGATATTTTGCAAATTCCAAAACAGCTGCGAATTTTTGGCACAAACTGGTTTGTATTTTGAAAGGACAAAAAATGCAAAAACAAATGAGAATTCGAGCTGAGCTGATTTGCATAAGTAACGAAGAAAATTTGCCAATGAATATCAAAGGCCAACAATTATGGATACCTTAAAATAAACAAAGATTTTTAGGATATTGCAGGCGAGTATACATATACCTATACACTTACATATTCAACGAAATTATGACCGTTATGCCAGCGGGTCAGTTTCGTGTCAATATGCATACTTCGTATGCTTTCGCCAGTTACAGCTCAAACGCCAATCAAATGCTTAGAAGCGAAAGGGTTGTTGACACACCGCTAAGCGCTGATTGGTCAAGGTTATTGCGGTCTTAAGTGTGTTTGCATAAAAGGAAGTGCGTATTGTAGAAGTGGGCAATAAGGGTAGCAAGCAATTGTGGACTTCCGTAAATGCAAAGAGTGTGTAGATTACAAGTATATGTAGATGTAGGGGTATGTATGCGTAGATATATGCATGTATGTATATTACTAATATATGTTTATGTTTGTAAGTTTCATTAATATATAGAAATTTACTTTGCACTTCAACCCTTAAGCAACCCTGCGACCAACCATTATTTGCATAGTAAATATATGCATGCACATACATATTTACATACACAACTGGTAGTGTGTCATGTCGCAGTTAGTTGGCTTCACTGCTGACCTTGCCACACATGTAACAGTCGCATTTGAAACTTGCAACACGCCGAACGAATGCTACAAAACAGTGCACACGGTTAAGGAAACGCTTCAAATAGACTTAAAAAATATTTTTTTTTAAATATTTAAAGACTATTTTTTAAATATTAAAAAATTATTTTTCAAATTGAAAAAAAAATTTGGTTTTCAAATATTTAAAAATTAATTTTCGAATAATTAAATTTTCTTTCAATAATATTTAAATATAATAAACAGTGGTTATAACTACTAAAAACCAAGTGTTGTGTGCTCAAAAAAGTAAGTTGCTCGCTAAAATAATTTTTTTCACAGTTTCACAATTTTTTTTAAATTTTCTTTTATTGCTTAACATTAGTGCATAAATATGTAATTGCACTATACGGGTATTTGTGTGTGTAAACGAATTGGATTATTGCTGCGCATACACACACAAATACATAAAAAATAAAAACAATAACAAAAAAGTTTACAATAACAATAATTTAAATATTATGTAGTTTAAGCGCCGCTGCTGATGAGATGCGATGTCGAAATGACTACTGTTGTTGTTGCTGCAACAAATTACGTTCATAGTTAATATACTTGCCAATTGCAATTACATATAGAAATATCACATACGCCCTCGTGGCAAACTCGTGCGAGGGTAACCAAAACCAGCGTGGCATTTGCCACATAAACGTGCAACATTTTATTACTTGTTGCAACGCTTAATCATCCATATTAACATTATTCATACGCATTTTGGCAAAGTCCTCAAACACGATATTGTCATCGTCATCCTGATAGTAGCCCTTCACATTGCGATGCTGCTCGATGGACTTCATTTTCTTCATGGCATTCGAGCGCTTCTTCTCGACGGTGCCTGGAGCGGGTGTGCGAGAATTTAAATAGTGCTATTGTAAGTGTTTTTTTTGTTTGTTAGTTAACTTACCCGGTGCTGGTTGCAGCAATTTGAAGGGCACGTCTGTCTGCATTTCTCCGCCCAAAGTGCCACAGTTCAGCTTGATGCGCACCGAATAGGAGATCACAATACCACAAGCATCACCGGTGGATTTTCCGTCCTGCACCAAAGTTGAAGAGGCCAAATTCACATCCTCGTCCTTCAAGTGGCCATCGAGTGCAATACCTTTGTAGCGTTTGATTAAGAAAGTGAAGTGTTATCAATTAAGCTTCAATATTAAGAAACATTTATGGATAGACAGTTTTTATTATTGCGCCAAAATGTAGGCAGTATTTTATATATATACTGAAACCATCCAACAAAAGTGATAATTTGGCTAAAATTTTTAATTTGGCGCCAAAATGTAGGCAAAGTATTTTACATTTATATAGAAAACTTCCAACAAAAGTGATATTTTGGCGTTTTTCACTTAACATAGCCTTAGGGTCAGGAGTCTATACTGAAATTTCACTCACTTACCACTATTCGACCACCGACTATTTCATTACTTACCATGTCGATCCTTATTATTCGCTGCCAATGGAATTAAGTAAAATGTCTTCGAAAGATTTGCACCAGGCGTGATAGGACAGCCCTCCTTTGTCTCCAGCTGTGCCACATGCTTGCTAAACTGCGCATTCACCATGGTGATCTCTGTGTGTTGCACTATGAAGCATTTAATATTCTTAACCGATTTTTTCGAGTTATTGCTAATCTGCACGGTGGCAGCCACTTTCTCGCCATGATAGTAAATCTCACGATCCAGCGTAACTTCCAAGCTGATCTTGCCATTGGAGAAGGTGAAACCTTTGCTCACCAACGAACTGGGTAAACGCTGACCGCGTGTTGGGGGCGCATACTGCAATTTCTTGATCACCAAACTGACCATGCTGCGTTTGTGTTGACGATCATCCTCCGAATCGGCAACGTAAGCACGAATATTGTATTCAATGCCAAGCGGTTTGCCCATATCATCGCCCTCCTGTTGCAGTGTCACAGAGCTGGGTGAATTGGGTGGGAAGTGGAAGGTGAATGGATGTGCATTGCTGCCTAGTTTTCGTACAAGTTTCTCCTGCATCGGTGTCATTTCCATGTTGGTGTTGGTCATCGGCATGATTTGTTCGCGGCATAATATGAGCTCCTTAGAAAATTTAACACCCATGACCTCATCTTCTTCGCGGCCATAACGATAGGTGGTGACTAGTTGTCCGTAAACGCGTCGATTTTTTAAATAATCCGGATCGACGACCACAACACCGTCAACAGGATCACAGTAATCCAAGTGATCAATGAAATCACGACGTCCCAGATAGAAGGTCACTTTGCCATTAGGTGTGGCCTTCTTGAATACTTTCACCGATACAACCATTGTTTTAAGTTCTTAATTCACAATTCTTAGTAGTTCAATTTAAAAAATTTCCGTTATCCTTGCGTTTTCACGGTAGTTTAATTAAATTTTTATTTCTAATACACTGTATGACTTGTTTGGTTTAGGGTTTTTGTAATGTTCGCGCGCGTCTGAAGGGAAATGCGACCATTGTGACCGCATGCACCTGCTTATATACTTTTGCTTTTCATCCCCAACATTTAAGGAGGGGGCTGTTGTTAGTTGCTTTGCTGGCTTTTGTACTAAGTGGATTTGCTCATTACATCTACGTTGTTACGCGTTGCCTTTTAATTACGGCTACGCTAACATTCCAGCGGCCGGCCCTGAGAAGCCGTTGTTTGGACATCAACTGCGGAATTGCGTTCGTAAACGGTGGTGCCTCTAACTATATGCCGCGTGTATCGAAGCCAGTTGTATTTGATGCGCTTTTTATTTATTTAGCCTATGTAAGTAGTGGCAAAGTAAATGCAGCTGGATTTTGTGTGACATTTAAGTTTTTCACGACCTCAGGCAAGGTTAGCGGTAATTGTGTGGGTTGCACTTTCGTCTTATATAACCTGAAAGGCAATGCAGCTGGTCAGTGGACCGTACAGTTGGTTAGTGGATATTAGTGTTACTTGGATTCACAGTGGATTATAGTAACATAACGCTTAGCCTCCATATTTACTGCGCGATGGTTGTGTCTCAGCTGGCCGCTACATTCTACCATAGCACTTTGTAATAAATATGATTTTTTAAGCTATATTAGATGATATTATATAAGATTATTTTATTCTAAATTTGTTGAAATGTTTTTTGAGATACGCCAATCTTCCTGAACTGCTCAATGTTGTGAGTATTATCATGATGTTTGATAAGTTTCCCAAGATACACTATTAAAAGAGTAATAAATACTTTAATATCATATAAGAGTTTTGATATTTCAAGAAGTGGTCACATTTAGTTTAGGATAAGCTCGATCAAGAATCTCATAAAATGAATTTCTACAAAAACTACCATAGGGGTGCTTTTCTTGAAAATGTTTTCATGACCTTAAGGGGTTATATTCACTTGCAAGTCAGAAAAAACGCGTTTTTGTTTGTAAATTTAGTTTTATGTAGAATTTTATTTAATAAATAAATAAAAATAATCTTGATTTACAGAATTTTAGGTGCTCTTGTAAACGTCGACCCGTTTAAAAAAAATTTTGCTTCCTTAAACCCGTATCCCATCTTCAAGAGAGTCTCCAAAAGAAGACGATGGGGGAGATTTTTCTGCTTAAATTTATCCTAAATCCAAAAAAAATATAAAATTATAAAAAAAAATAGTAAATAGCTTTCAAAACCAAAATCATTTCTCGATATTTACACTTCAAAATTATTGTCAAAAATCTTATTTCTTCCATCATTACCTTATAAACATGAAGTCGTGTGAAAATTTCAAGCTGATCGATACAGCCGTTTCGGAGAAACCACATGTTTATGTCACGTTTAAAGCCTTTGGAGCCGATTACACTAAGTTACAAAGCTTTTAAAAATTGCGGTCAAATGTACAAAACTATTTGCCGGACCAACTTCGGAGAATATTCTCAAACTTTTTTTTATTTAAATATGCAAAAAAAAAAAAATTTTTTTGATATTCACAAGTGGATTTACCCCCTTCAATTGTGCAATCGATGAGAGACGCAGAGGGGACTGAAGATGCACTAAGCTCTACACTTTTATAAGCTAATATTTTCATGGAAAAAATATAACTGCGAGTTAAACAATAGAAAATCTAATAATATTATGTAAGGCGAGCATCACATCGGATCAAAAAGAAAGGAAGTACTACTTTTTTAAAGACATAGTAGTTGTGATCCAAAAACTAACCTAATGTAAAAACTAAATATATTAATAGCACCATATTATAATACCAAGATTTCGGGATAAAAATTTGACGAATATGGGATAAATCGGCTAAAATCACAAATACCTATACATCCATCCACACCTTATTAATTCACTTTGCTTGATATAAGCCGTGAGGTTCCATCGTTTTCTCATACAAATCGGAAACATGTGACTTCTGTTTTCAGCCCCACATAATTTTGTTTTGCGTTCTACATTTCAGCTTTTTTTTGTGAATTTCAGTGTGGGTTCCACTTTCCATTGCTTTTGTTCGATATATGCATATTATATGTGCGCGCACTTGTTTTGAAGCCATAGTAGAATAGAAGAATAAGCACTTAGGGAAATAATCAATATTTTACGTCGCCCACGTTATTTTCTTGACCAATAAACCAAAACTGGCGGGCTTACTCTGTAAACACCAAACGAAACTATTATACACTCGGAGAATTTCCAAATACGCTGTTCTATTTTACAGGAATTGACCGTAATTTTGTTATTGTGGATCTGTAAAAGTTAAACTCTCAGGAGAATATTTCGAGTAATGGAAAATGCGATTCAGGAAGAAGTAACTACCGAAAATAGTTATTATTACACATTTAGCTGCTTGTCCCAATCGTCCCAGCAAGTGGTAAACGCTATCAACACAGCTCACTTACCTCAAAAACATAGACGATCTTGAAAACAAAAAAATCTAAAAATTTGCAATATCACAACTTGAAGAACGCATAACTTAATATTTGAGTTATTGTAATATTTCGTAAATAATTCTCCCTCTGGTGTATTTTTAAACCATTGAGGGAGATGCATAAAGTGTATGCATTTCTTGATATATTAAAACCCTTATTTTCTGGTTACTGGGTATACATTGAAGTACATTCATTCATATAATTCATATATGCACACATACATAATAAGCATAACTTGTATATTTATAACATCTACTTTTCTGGGCACAAAAACTGTTCTACACTTCCTCGAGAAATTATCTAAGAAACTTAACGAATCTTTTCTAACAGTTCGGCGTACGTTTTCCGGTTTCATCTGCTTTTATTTGAGGCAAATATGTGATAAACACAAAGTTTGTAGTATAGTTTTAGGCTAACAGTAGGGAAATGCACCTTCATTTCAGTGGTGCTTGTCTGAGCTGATCATGAAAATGTACATTTATCAAATAAAATTACCTTAGCGAACACACACCCGAACAAGGTGATGCATACGGTAAAGATTGCGGTATATAATAGTAAAAATAATAGAATATTTTTTCTAGAGAACCAAATACATACCTTTAGATTGAGATGAGCTTTCATAACACTATCTTTTCTTTAAATTTCAGATATTTTATTCCATTTAACACACAACACTATTGAGATATGCAATCCTGTTCGACTCCTGATCGCCATGGCTACAGCGTACGCTTCTCACCATTTCAGCCAAATCATTTACTACTGGCTACAAGTCAACTGTACGGTTTGGCCGGTGGTGGCACGTTATTTCTGCTGGAACTACCTTCAGCAGGGGGCAAAAGCTTGACGGAACTCGGGCGCATGGAGTGGACGGATGGACTTTTCGATGTGGTAGGACTATAAACATTTGAATACCTCTCTGGAGTTAATTAACATTATTTTCATTTATTTTACAGGCTTGGTGCCCATATGCAGACAATATAGCGGCAACAGCTTCTGGCGATGGCTCTCTGCAAATCTGGGGTGGCCTTGATGATGACATTGTGGCTACAGAAACTACATTGAAGTCCCTCAACCAACCGCTGATTTGCTTGCAAGAGCACAAAAATGAAGTGTACAGCATCAACTGGGGTGAACAGTGGAACTGCCATCAACTCTTATCGGCCAGTTGGGATGGTACCATCAAATTATGGGATTGCCATCGTCAGAATTCGATCGCCACCTACACGGGACACAGTGACCTCATCTATTGCGCAAAGTTCTCCCCCTTAATTGCCAATCTTTTCGCTAGCGTAAGTACAGATGGTAACTTAAACTTATGGAATTCTGCTCTTGAATTTTCAGGTAAACCTTTGATGAGTATCGAGTCAGCGCACAACGGTGAAGTACTCGCCTGTGACTGGAGTCAATTCGATCGGAACATTTTGATGACTGGTGGTTCGGATGGTTTGGTGCGAGCTTGGGACCTGCGCAATATGCGACATCATATCTTTCAATTGTACTCCGGGGAGTTCGCGGTACGACGAGTGGCCTGTTCCCCGACCGCGGCAACGGTGGTAGCAACGGCAAATTACGATTTCACAACGAGGTATGCGAGCGTTCTTACCTACAATTTTTAAAATGTTAGGGGAGATTCAGAGTTCTCACGGAAGATATTTTCATTCAACAGGATTTGGGATTTCAATCAGTCTTTGGACTCAATGGAGGTCAATGTAAATCACACGGAATTCGTTTGTGGTTTGGATTGGAATGCTAGCGTACCACATCAACTCGCGGACTGTGGCTGGGATTCCGTCATCAATGTGTATACACCAAAAACCTTAAAGGATATGTTGGACTAGTGAATAGGAGAATGTTGGGCACGATATTGCATCCTTAATCCAAAGAAGAAGATGACAGTAATGTCGAATTAACGTAGTACGCTTTGTAAATGCGCTGTGACCTAATTATTAGCTATAATGAATAGGATAGGAGTTAAGAAGCTAAACAGGTTAGAGGAAGCTGAACCAAATTCATGATCTACTAACATATAAAATAGATCTAAAATTGTATAAAAGAGGTCCACGAGGAATAAGTAGCTGAGCTATCCTAAATTTTCGCCAACTAAGTGTCTTGAATGTGATAATAGAAATTTACAATAGGTACCATGGAAAATTAAAAAAAAAAAAATTATTTAGTTTTATTGTGTAAATTTTAAACAAAATATAGTATAAAGGATATTTTCTTGGGTCTGGTACTTTAGATGCTGGTTTTTGAATTTCATATTTGAGAATACCAAAACAAAAAGTTGTTTTCGATTCACCCAATTTTAGCACACACATGGGTCTAAAAAAATAAACATAGGAGAGTAATCGATTGATAAGTGAATAAAGCTCTAATACAAGCAGAGAAGTGGTGAATCGAAATTAAGTTTGAACAGAACCGGCATTTTAAGTACAGGATCTCATGTGTCATCTCATATTTTCACATTTTCTTTATTTCATACAGTATAGTGGTGTCATACATATGTATGTACGAGTATGATTTTGTAAATTTTGATATATATGAACATATATGCACATAAAATGTTACTGAATATATAAAATATCACCGTGCTTACGATATTTTTTGCTTGCAATGCATAGCAGGTTGGGTTTGGAACGGATTCTGGCACTACCAAGAGACGAGAATTTTTATGAACTTCATTCACACAAATAACATCAAAATTGATAACAAAGACCCAATATCTCAAGAAAAACTACTGTCCCCACCCATGTTCTCTTTAATCGGTTTTTCGATAAAACAATTGATTAATAAGGGTATTGTACTCACATCAAGATTGTTGTTAAGAATGATTTTATACCCTGAACGGGGTATATTAAGTTTGCAACGATGCTTGTAACTCCCAAAAGGAAATGTCGGCGTCCCTATATATATACATATATATATATGTGTATATATATATATATATATTAAGTATTAGCGTGATGAATTAAGTCGATTTAGCCAATCTGTTTATACGCGAACTAGTCCTCAAGTTTTGAGAAATGGATCTGAATCTGTGCAGACGGCCTTTCCTCTTCAAGAAGCTGCTCATTTGTGGGAATCGCAGGTATTGAATAAGTATATAATAGAGCTGCAATATAAACGGACCGATCAAACTGAAGCCCTTGTATGGAAATTTTTTTTAATTTGACATGGTTTCTTCAGCGAATTTTGCATAGCATATTATCCAAGGCATCCTTACAATCTCAGAACAAATTGTTCAGATCGAACTGCTATAGCATATAGCTGTCATACAAACTAACCGATCAAAATCAAGATGAAGATATTTTTATACTCTTTTATACTATAAAAAATACACCTGTGATGCTTATTATAGTATAAATGTGTATATAAATATATAAATGTATATAAATTTTTCAAATATTTTTGATGCTGAAATGAAAACAGACGAATCTCATTGTTTACCGATAATTTTTCCATTAATTTTGATTTTGCCGTGGATACTACTATTCATCTCGAATTCAACCCAGTTGTCGAAAGTGATAAGAAAGCATGCTCTGGGATCGCCGAAACCATGACGTTAAACCAAAAGGATCCAGAATAATATTTAGCCAAGGTTCGTCAAACCGATAGCATTTCCCAAAACGGCTTTATGTCACAACAACAACAAAGGAGTTTAAATGAAACCAAGCTTTGAAACTCAAGCAGATTTCAAAACAAAATGTGAGGAATAGTTCTCAAATCGAAAAACACTGCAAAAATAGGCATGCAAGTTTCTTTTTATATCAAAAGTCATATGTATGTCACTGTTTCGGACGCTTCTTCAAAGTTATGCATGCCTTTACGTGCTTCGGGAGGTGTTCTTAGCGGTCAGCACGACTGTAGAATTGTCATTTATTTTTGTCAGAAGTCATAAGCTGTCATAAATTATATAAATGATGTCTCTCTTCTCTGAGCTTCTACTCATATCTTAATACCCTCCACAAAATGAGAGAGAATGATATTACATATAATCGGTTAGAGCGGAGAAATCTTAACACAAGGAGTAAGTAAGTCAATGTGTGGCTGTGAAATCAGAGTACTCATTATTTTGATTAATGTGAACAAATTCATTGACATTTATAAATAATTTCATTCCTGGACTTTCAACTCGTCGAATTTTAGACCCAGAACTACCTCGCTTAGGTTCGGAGGAGTTTTGAAACTGTTTTGAGTTTTGTTTGTACAGATATATTTATTTACAAAAATATGTATGGTATGTATATTGTTTTAAAAACTTGATGCCGCACAATAATTACACTATGATATTCACTATTTTAGGAACCTTCCACAGCCAATAAGTAGAAAAAGGTTGCCAAGGGGATGAGCACAAAGTGTTTGCTTGCTTGCTGAATTTGGCAAATCTTGAGGGACTGTTCGAATATGTGCATATGTTACGTGTTACCAAAATTATAAGACAAGCATGTGATTGTTGTTATTGGATAATCACTGTCTTGCGCAAATGCCAAATGTTGCCATCTTGCCTTCAATCTCAAGCGTGTTCGTCTCTACTAAAAAGGTAAATATTTGCTTGTATTTGTAAGTAGTTGTTTGCTTTATTTGAGTTGTCTGCAATTTTGCAGGATATAATCTCCATATGCATATGTATGTGTAGCAATATACATGACAGGATGGTGTTTGCCTAACCCATAATTATGCTAACCATATTGCCAAGACGAAGGTGAGATAATGCTCGCGTCATTTTGATTAATGGCAACCGTTAATTACACTTTGAAGGTCTACTTTTGGTTAGCAGAAAAAAGTGTTTGCAATAAAAGTGTTAAAAATAAAGGATAACAAGAAATTATCAAACATGTCTTTCTTGATTATATTTACCTTGTTGAATCAAGAAGCAAATAAGCAAAAATTGTCCGCAAAAAGAAGACTTAAAGCAATTGTTGAGTTTTCAAACTTATATGAATTTGGCTGATGTTGTTTATCTAGAAGGTAAGATCTTTCATAAGAAGTCTAAATTAGTGCAGAAAGACTGGTAAATAAATTAAAATATTTTTATTATGACTCCATTTATTTTGGTGTCAGGTAATATCGTTTACCTCTAGAAAATATTAAATTAAAATTAAAAACAAATTAGGAGTGAATTGGAGATAGGAGCCTTATTGTCAGACACAAAATACAATATTGATAAAAATTATTAATTATTAACAAAATCAAAATTCGCCTTAGCTTTAGTATACTCGTCCTAGTATGTTTGCAAATTTTGAAATTAATGCCTAATTTTGTCATATTAAATCTCACCAGATCAGCAGAGACAACAACCGAGAAGGCTAATACGCCATCTGGCGGCTTAAAATTTGCACACAGTGGAACAAATTTAATAAATGAAAGACAAAATTGGTCTGCTCAATAATTGTGCTTATTGTTATATGTTAATCCTGTCGAGAAATATATATCGTGGTCATCGATTGAGTTGAATTAGAAAACTAAATACAGTATGAGTAGAGAATATTTACAACAGTAGCTGAAAAGTCTTTGCCCTAACAATGAAGTAACGTTTTTGTTTAATAAAAATATGGCTATATGTTTTGATATAACCTGTGGACCTGTCAACTATTACGATACTGATGTCGGTTTGATAATGTAAAGCTTTGAGGCCAGGTTTCCATTTTGACGAAATTCAGTATCATTTTGTACTTGTCCGTTGGGTATGATGGGACAGATTTTGTGTAATTTATCAAGTCACAGCTTTGCATTAACGATGTTTTTCACATTAGAAAACTATGTTTTATCAAATCTAGGAACTCATTTTTTTCCATTGTATAAAAATATATGTATACATACATGTGGTAGCGCCATTTAAAACTATTAGCTTGGGAATGATTGGATGAAATATCATGAACATTTGACAGTATTCTAGTTAAGGTTAATGTTAGTACTCTAGAGCAAAGGTAGAGTTTTTTGCTAGTGTCATCGTCACTCAGTTAGCGCAATAAGCCTATGTACTGGGCATTCTATTTTCTTTTCGGAATTCTTTGGTTTTATTGCAAACAGTAAACTATATTCTTTTATCCAAAACGATATATTTGTGCGGTTTGCCAAAAAATGGTGTAACTTGATTAGTATTCCATTGTTCCAATATTCCAAACATGTTTTGGAAAGATACAGTTCTTGTAAGTCTTTTCCAGTATATGTTATTCAAAAAAGAGTTTTTGCGGATAGTTTTTTTTTATTACTTTAATATTAAGATAACCTCAGCCCAAAATCTTCATATTTTGGTGGAAGTATATGGTGAGCATGCTTTAGCACAATTTAAAAGTGGTGATTTTGGCTTGAAAGTCGAAAAACGTTCTGGATGACCAACAAAGTTGGAAGATGTAGACCTGAAAACATTAATCGGCGAAGGAAATAAGGAGTCAAGCAGCCATTTCAAATTGTTTAAAAGCAGCCAGATACATTTAAAAGCAAGAAAATTGGATGACATGTGAATTGAATTCAAGCAACGTTGAAAGACGATTTTGCATATCAGAAATACTATCGAATGCAGCAAAAATAAGTTGTTTTTGCATCAGCTTTTGACTGGTGATGAAAAACAGATCCTTTACGATAACCCTAAAGGCAATAAATTATATATAAAACATGACCAACCAGTCAAATATCCATGACGCCAAGCTATTGCTCTGTATTTGGTGGGATTAGAAGGCCGTTTTGTATTATGAGCTTTTAAAACCGTTTGAAATCATTAATAGAAAACCTTATCGACAACAGCTCCTCAAATTGAAGCGAGCGACTGCCGAAAAATATCCGGAAATTGCGATTAGACACGAGGCAAGAGAACGCTTGGCGCCATATTGCATGACTGATTAAAAACTATTTCCGAACAGCTATTGAACGTATAGAGAGCTTTACCTACCTCCTGAAAGCGATGTGAAAAAAACTATTTTATATTTCGAACTCTAACCTTTCAACTCCATCTTATACATTGTACATGTGTAAACTTATATTCACATATACGAAAACTACAAAAATTATTACTTATGCACATGCTCGAGCAATGTACAACAAAAAATCATAAAAGTACTTGTATTCAAGTGTTTCTGCCGATGCCGCCAAAAGTTTTTATTTTATCATAAACGATAAACATTAAACTTAACATTCGCCAGCTTCTGCACGGTCCTACACGAAACACGGACACGCGCCTTTGACTTACCCATAATACTACCAGCACGAACAAAAACAATAATAAATCTTAGCGAATAAAGGAAAGAAAGAAATAAAAGTGCAGCAACATTATTTGCTACAAGAAATGTGCTCATAAAAAGCAAATATCCAACCATCATCCTCGATATTGGGTACGACACGCAACCGACGCGAAAGAAGTCAATGAAGCAGAAGCCGGCTGGGGACTTAAAGGCGCATGAACGCCGTCACATTTGCTGATGGTTGGTGGAAGTCATTAAAACATTTAAAATACAATGCGCATGCGCCGCAACTCGTTCGAAGTGTATTTGTTATATAAGTAAGTGTATGAGTGTCCAAAGATTGATACATAACGCGATTCAATGTATTACGTATGCATGCGAGTGTAACCTGCAGTAAATCGAGCAAAC